GAGAGGACTTTTTTATTAGTGATCTTAATAATATTTTTTTTCACATTAATGCAATTTTTTCATCTAATTGAATACAATCTATTTGTGTATGATTGTCAGTCCAAAGAGGGAGAGAGGAAAGAGGGGAGCGTGAGGAGAAAGTACAAGGTCAGGAAGAAACAGGTAAGAAAACAGACAGGAAATAGTGACATTCAAAACAAACTGTTAAACTGCTTGGGAGAGAGTTGACCACTAAAAAGTGATAGACAGATTTGCCAACCTCAAGGTGAGGCCACATAGGTTAAAATAAAATAAAAAATCTTCAGAGCCATAGTAGTATCTGCAGTAAATATCTTTTCATACATTGTACCATAGGCAAAGTTGCCTCCATTTTTATATATATATATATTTTTTTTATCAATATTTTGTACATTTGTACATTTCAAGGACTCTATTTTTGGAGTGTATTTTTATATATCTGTATTGTATTATACATACACATTAAAAGTGAATCTCTGTCCAAAAAATGCACTCAGTTTACTTCTTACTCACTATGATCATCATTCATTATTCTCCCCCAGTAATTAAGGTTAGGATATGTATTTTTTTTTTTTATTCCAATCCATTCTTCGTTATCAGCATTTAAATAACCTTTATCTGATTTGATGGTTTTGTTACAGGCTTTAAAAAAAGTTTTTTTGCTATTCTTTCACAAATATGGGGATTACATTGTGTTAAAATGTACAAAACGATAATGTCATGATTTGTGACGAGGACCCAGACTTGATGAATTTAAGAATCTTATGATTTAATAAAGAAATTTGCAGACTTGCACAGAGATGGTAAAATTATGATGACTGATAATGAAGATGAAGACAACAGACGATGAGGACAGGGAGAAACAGGGGTTTAAATGCACCAAGGAGACAGTCAGAGGGAACTCAGGACAACTGGAGACATTTAAGGATGCAGGGACTGATAGAGACAGGGAAGAAATCTCATTGTGACGAGTACAGTTTATCTTGCCTGGCTGGGCAGCTCTCTGGGAGCTCAGCACCCCCAAAGCCCTGATCCTAGAATCACACCTGGTCTGATGTGATCTTCAGCTGCCTGCAGGTTCACTCTGCTGGAGTGACTCAGATGCAGTTTCACATTTGATGCTGGCTGTGTGGCTGCTAGAGGAATGTATTGTCTGTGTAGTTATACAAGCTTTAGTTACAGTATATTACTGTCACACTCTACGACATCTAAGATTTTAACAGTCTCACAGGATGCTTTCATTCTTTTCTGGTCTTCTATATTGGCGTTATCTTCTGGCAGAAGTCTCTTTTGTTCATGAACAGGGTTAATATCATCTTCTTCAAACACAGTGCCATCTAAAAGCAATGTGTTTGAAGAAATAATTTTGGGATTTATGAGGACTCCTAGTGTCCAGTGTTTCTGACATAGATTCAGAGCTACCCAGTTCTTCATCTTAAATATTACTCACATCATCAGCTTCAGAGTTGTTCAGCTCATTGGCAAAGTTGATGGCAATTGTCTTTGCATGCTCTCCTGCAGGGTTCACTCTCTTTGACTCATCAGAATTGCTTTTTTGGGGCAGTTTTGGCTCAAAGCACCCCAGTGAGGTTCTTGACATAAACTGGTCCTTGAGCTGAAAGGAATTGTAGTAATAGCACCACTGGGATGTTCTGCTTCTGTGACTTCACATAGCTGCATCGCTGGTACTAAACCTCACTGTTTGTTCTCCATTAGGAATTACAACATCAGCATTTTGCTGTGACTCCAGTTGCCAATCCCTGATGGTGTTCACAGTGTGACTTCTGTCACATCCATCTCTGCATCATCTGTACTGAACCTCACTGTTTTTAAACCATGTAAATTGTCATAGCCAGTTAATGATACTTTTGTTTTTATCAGAATCAGCATACTTTATTAATCCCTAAGGAAATTATGTGGGATGCCGGCTTGTACACATACACGAGAGACACGAGAGTTCTTCTTTACTGATGTTTACTGTGCTTACTGTGCTGTAGAACTGGTGTAATACAAATGTACAAGAAAATTATATTTCAGCATTAAAACATATGGCAATATAAAATTCACAAAATATAAACAAACATACCACTTTGGCCTGCAAGTAGACAAACCGGTGTAATTGGAACGTAGGACTTATTTCTTCTTTAACATTCACATGGCTAGACCGTCACGTCACGTCATGAGCAACTTCTCTGACCTTACTTCCCAAAACAGGAAGTGACCTCTTCCCTTACCTTGTACTTACATAATTAACCGGTTATTTTCCATGTATCAAATTAACTGTACACCAATCCGATAGGCAAAAAAGAAAAATGTTTATGCTCAACATAAAAATAAAACATACAAAATAAAATGCGTTAATTACATTATCATTACAAGAGCTCCGCCTAGTGGTCAAATACTAACATTTCACCAACTGTTACATGTGGGTTACAGTTTTTCTTAACAGATCTAAGTTGGTGGATAGTTTTTAAGCTATACTTACTCTTATACTTTTACTGCTGATGAGATATTAATTTCTGAGTCTAGTCTAGTCTGAGGCTTCTGGTGAAGTTCCTCTGTTGGTACGCTTAGCAACCATAATATGACGTGCTTCCTCATTCACATGTTGTAGTTTCAGAATTGGCTCTGAGGATGTCACCATGAGTGTGTGTCTTCAATGTCTTTGACAAGTGACACCATGTGGCCCTCTCTAGTAATACAGAGGGCCAATGTTACATCAATGTTATGTAACATTGGTAGTACATATATCAATGTAATAAAGACAGATTTAATATCTAATGGCAAGATTGATGATATACCATGTCGTAAAATAATAGTTGTCGCAAACGTTTTTTTGTAAACACAACAGCAAGATTGGTCGCATGTCTCCATGCAGGAGAACTGATTCTGTTTGAGAGCAAAGGGAGGCTGAAATGAATTATATCTTTCATGCCATCTGGTGTTTGTGAATCTTTTGGTGGACTGTTGCCTATACTGAGGTGAACCCACAGGTATCTGATTCGATCCTCTCTGCCTAACCATTCTAGGTCAACAAGCTTGTTTATTTTAATTGCTTTAAATATATTTTTATTAAAGAAATTATGAAATAATTGCACTATTCAGCTAAAACATTTATTTAATTGTTATTTGTTGTTAAATATCATTATTTTCTGTCAGTGTTGTGGAAATGCAGTTTTTTATTAGCTGTGTCATGGTTATATAAAAAAGAGAGCTTTGGACAGACACTTTATCTATCTGTTAATTAACCGGTATAACCACTGCAGCACCCCGTCTATTAATAGTGCGAATCAGACTCTTGGTAAAAGTTAATAAATGGTGCATAGACTTTTCTGTTTGTTCAGCAAGTAAACACAGTTCACCTTTGTCACATGACTCCCGTGTAAATTACAGTTTAACTGAAGTGTTTAATCTCTATTCAGTTTTCACTACAAAATAATATGCTACAAGAAATGCAGAATATTACCACAGTTTTATATTAAAATAGCAATTTCTACATAGCAATGCAAGAAATTATTATTATTTATTTCCATGATATGTCAGTTAATGCACATAAAGTCAGTCAAATCTAAGAAAGGTTCCCACCTGACAGTCAGCTAAGTGGATTGTCAGATTCATACTCACACAGTACTAAAAACACAAAGTGGATCTTGAAGTCTGTAATCTTTTTCTTTCTGGTTTCAGAAACACTCAGCAGAATGTCAAAGCGGTGCCCAGAATGTCATTGCCATGCCTATCAAGTGTGACCTGATCAAAAAGGAGGGGATTCTGTCCATGTTCACAGCAATCAAAAAGCACTTATGCACCAACACTGGCTTAGCCACAGTCACCGATAAGTGGAAAAACCAGGACTGGAAGAAGTATGTTTTAGAAAAAAAAAAGTTTGGCTTTGTTTGCACTAAAGTAAACGAACAAAGTTAAAAGTACCTGTACTTTACTCAAATATTGATTTTTGTGACAACTTTCTTTCTCTCTCTCTCTTTTCAACACAGGCTTCTGACTTTAGATTTAACAAATCTGAAGGGATCTAATATATTCTGACACCCCTGCAAACATCAAACTGATTTGAATCTAAATGGAAGGAACTATAACCCATTAAAGACAGACTGGTGTCTGGTGTTGGTGTTTCCATCTCTGTTATTTGTCACATATAAAGAGATGAAAGATGCAGAAAGAAAAATAAATTATGCATCATTTACAGATCTATACTGAAGGCTTGAAGTGAAGCACGTTGCTCTAGATCAGTGTTTTTGGTGTGGTGCAGATTTCCATAAGTTGTAGTTATGACACTTTTGCATCCAGCTGGTGTTGCATAGGAGGAGTGGACACAAAGGGAGTAATGATTTATAAGTGGCAATTTCTCACTGTTCAACAAATATTAGCACACACACACATTGTTTCTGTGCAGGTTGTCAAGCAGTGTGTTTGCTGGCTAAAGATCCTGCTGCTGTATTGCCATGGAGAGAAAAGAATGTGAGATAGTTTCATTCAGAGATGGAGAAATATGTAGGAAAGAGGATGGGAGGCATAAGAGATGTTATATTTAAAAGTAACCACTCTCAGTGGCACTTGATAAACTGGAGAATTTAAAGCTCATTTAATGTTTTACTTCATTTTGTAGTTTTCTGTAAAATGTGTTTTTACTGAATCTGTACATCACATGAGGTTATATTATGAAAGGTCTTGCTAAGCAAAATAAAGTATACTAATGTTTGTTGTTGAGAAGGTGCCTGAGTGTACATTTTCACAATCTTGTGCTGAGATTGGAGCCATTCCCCACATCTCTGTGAATAGTACTGATGTACGTGAATGAAGCTGAGGTATACTTTCTAAGAGGCTGGAAAATCACCATTCAGCTGAGACTGAAGAAGTTACTTGGATGAGTGATGAAACATGAAGCTGCTTCTACTGGAAACACAAAACTTAGACAAACAGAATCACCTTCGGATTGCCTGAGCGTGCATTAATATCGCTGTGATCACCATTTAGATTGTACAAATTTGAAAACAGCAACAATCCTGATAAAGGAACTGCTGTTTATATTTGATATAAGGTAGATACAGTTCATGTAGTGTTGTTTTTATTGCTCAGATAAAACAAATTTGATCATTTAACGAAGACATTCTGTCCCAAAGCATAGAGCTGATCTGAAAGAGTTTTTCATTCTGGCAAAAGACATCCAGTCCAGGATCACATTCAAGGGCGTAGATTTGGTTTTGGCATTGGTGGGGACGGATGATTCAACCACCGAACCCTGCCCTGTTTCTTTTTTTTTTCCTTTTTGTTTTTGCTTCTTGATAAAAAGAAGGAGAAATATACTTGTCTACATATGCTATTCTGCATGCTTTTAAACCATTTAAAATTACAATTCATAGTTTTATATATGTGAATGATATAATGTTAAATTACTATTAAACAAATGACTGACTAAGTATTTTAGACTTTAGTTTACTTCAGCCATATTCCATATAAATCAGGTATCATACAAAAATAAAAATAGCTTCAAATACAGTCATGACAATAAAAGAATATGACTTTAAGGACTTAACAACATTACTTCAGTTATAGTACACCAACATATCTTATACATTAGCACTAAGGGAACACTGAATGACCTGGTGGTTTTTGTCCATAAAACTACTCATCTAAGATTACCACAAAATTATTATTATGTGCTTGCTTTGCCTCACCTTTAGCCCTGGCTCTTCCCCTCTGACTGCACTAGGACATATTGCCACCTGATAAAATAACACATTGATTCGTGCCATATAAAAAGTGAGACATGTCAATTCAGATTCTTTGTCAAATATACACTAATGAATCAATTTACATCAGCAGCCTAACAACTGTCATGATAATAAATACTAGTTAATCTATAGCACCAAATCATCAGTCAGTCACCTGTGACCTCGCCTCTTCATCTCTGTCCGAGCTACAACATGGCAGAGCTGCCTCTGTCACCTGATAAATAACAGTGAGACACTCCAAATACATGCAGTCACACATGTGCTTCAAATACAGTCATGAACCACCAAGTCATCATCCAATTCCACCTGTGACCTTGTGTCACCATTGCTCTCTGAGCTTTGTGTTGGTTCTTCTGTCACCTGACAAATAGGACATACATGACAATCGTTTTTTTTCTTTCTATCGGGTTTGTTTTTCTTTACGCGAAGAGATCAAATTATTGGTGGGGACAATTCAATAACAGCTGAATATTGGTGGGGACATGTCCCTTCCGTCCATGCCAAATCTACACCCTTGATCACATTAAAGTAGTGTGGCCACTTCCTCTGATTACGAAACATAAAAACAAAAAAAATTTAGTGAATTCTTAGAAGGCAAAGGAAAAACGAAGGAGACTCATCCAGCCATCAGCTCTCTTCTTCTCAAAGCCATAACCACTCTTGGTTAACTTGGTTTTGGTTAACAGATATTTATTGCCAGATATTTTTAAGTTGTAATTGTTGTTTTACTGCAATGGAGATGTTCATATCTATAGATAACTTGTTAGAACCTTCAATATAGATCTGGCTTAGACACACACGCACACGCACACACACACACACACACACACAGGCTACTGGCACTTTAAAGAAAAACCTTTGAGTCAAACTCAGTAAGTACAAGACAGTTTTCTTAACTGTGGGTTATATTCAGTGCTTGTGAAAGCCAACTGCACTGATCTGTGAAAAAGCTGACTCTAGTCTTTCTCCTCCTCTATTAATGACTCTCTAAGATTTTTGAAGATGTGCGAAAAAGCAGACAGCTCTTATCTCTCAAAGAAAATGGTCTTTGATGAGGTTTGTGGAAAATATTTCTGGCATTCTCAGCATCCTTTTTAACATATTTTGAAGCAGTAACAGGGTGCTCATGCAGACTTAACACTGAAGTACAGTGCGATTGTTCATTATTTTCACACTGCGGCAAATACACTGTACTTCAAAATGTACTGTAGCATCCAGTCGAACTGAGAAGGCCAGAACTGATGGTTGTTGAATGACCTTTATTATTCCTTGCCGTGTATCAGACAACGAACCAACGTAAGAGCTAGACAAACAAATAAAACAATTACCATGTTATTTATATAACACCATTTTAACCGCTCATTACGCTGGTCTAACCATTTTCTATTAAACTATATAATACATATTATGCATTTCAGATTGCTCAAATTAAATCATGTACATTACAAACCTTGTTCCCCTGTCGACTGTAGCTAGAACCATTCATTTTTGTACAATTTAACCATGTTTTTCTCTCCCTTTTCTCCGTTATCATTAGTTTTCCGTTTTCTTCCGTCTTTTTTGTACATCAAGTTGGTTACCGTTACATCATTCACTTCCGGTCACACAGGAAGTCACCAAAATAAAAGCACAACCATTATATTACGTGTATATGAGCTAGCTTTACATATCCGCCGTTACACTCCCACCAAATTATTTGCTGTTACAAACAAAATAAAACACAAATAATTTCTAAACAGGTAACTTAACAATGATAATACCTTTGTATATGCAACAACTAATTTTCATTGCATTTTAACTTCTTAGTGCATCTTGCTTTTCACAACTTTCTAACAGTAGAACCAACTTATGAACTGGGCGTTCCACTGTAGACATCATATGCAAACGTTCACCCTTTTTACTAAGGTTTCTGTCTGCAAAGGTTACTTTGACCTTTCTCACAAGTCTGTCTTCATCTGTTATGGTGTCCACAACTCTACCAAGTCTCCATTGGGATCGTGGCAGTATTTCTTCTTCCATTTCTTATGATTAACGCCATAATTAGCTTTCTTTTCTTTCAAAAACACTCCAAACATTATCATATTTAAGGTAAATGGGGTAATTTGAATCCCACTGGAATAAAGCCAGGTATGAAAATCCAACCAAAATATTTGTGTACAATTGCACAAAAAGATTAGATGGTCCAAATCCTCCTCTTCTGTCTCACAAAATACACAATTACCAGTTTCTATTTTGAATCTATCACCAAGGAGTCTATTTGTCGGGTAAATTTTATTCAAAATTTTAAATTGGACTTCTTTTCCTTTAGGAGGGATAGGAAAGGTGATATAATCAGTTCTTATTTTTTCAATTTCTTCCCTTTGAAAATCTTTTAATATGTAATTACGTCTAAGTAAATTTGGAGAATAAAGACTCCTTAATGAAGATCTTAGAAACTTATCATTGCATTTAACATCACAAAATTGAATAGCATCTATATATAATTGCCTTAACTTGGGGGAGATGTCAGAATATATTATATCATTTACAACTATGTTTTTAAGTGACAATGGAATGGATTTTATAACCCGATTAAATTTACTTTTAGAACATTGGATATTAAACTTTTGGCAAAACTCTTGATGTCCTAGAACATGTCCTTCCTCATCTACAAAATGGGCAATTGCCCAAACACCTTTTGATAACCAATCTTGAATAAAAATAGATTTTCTGTTCATCAGTATATATCTGTTGTTCCAAATTGGGCTATTATGTGGAGTGAAATTATGTTTAAATAACATTTTCCAATAAAGAAGGACCTGTTTATGGAATTCAGAGAGTTTAACAGGTAGCTTAGTAATTTCAAAGTCACACTTTAGGAGAAAATCAAAACCCCCCAGTGTGTTAAAGACCTTACTTGGTATAAAAAACCAAATGGAGTGTGGATTATTTAGGAAGGATTTTAACCATTTAAGTTTCAAAACACCATTCATTATATCAAAGTCAATTGCGTTTCCACCACCTTCAATGTATGGTTTAACCAAATCATCTTTAGATATATAATGGCACTTATTCCTCCA